GCAAGCGCACGCGCCCTATAGTGAAAAAAAAAAAAAAACCTCTCAAAAAAAAAATGTATGCAAATATATTTGATTTAATTGTCACATACTATATGCATACTTTGAAAACCATGCTGTCCACTATAGAGATGCACAATGATTAAATGTAAGTAAAATAAAAGAAAGAAAACTAAAGCTCCCTGCCCTCCTAATTTACATTTGATTTTGTCAGTACACATTTGATATTCCGGTGTTTGTGAGAAAGCATAATTAGAAGCAAACCTTTAATTTTCTTATGTATCAGTTACCATTTGTATGCTTAAATTTGTATTTCTGTTAACATTCTTGTGTGTGTGTATTTAATACCAGTAATTTTCTAACTGATCTAAAAAAAATCAATTGGTTTAGCAGATATATTAATGTTAAATATTATTAATTTTTGTATTAAATAAATTTCTCTTCCTGCTTCTTAAAAGTGAAATATAACTCATTCTATGACCCATGAGTCCATTAGTGTTCCTTATAAAGAGCCCATAAAAGAATAGAAAAGATATACTTTCAAGAACTAATAATTATCATCTGACATGCATCCCCATCAACCTGCGTAATTCTTTGAGGAAAAAAAAATACTTAAATAGTTGTATTAACTTATAGTATAAACTGATCAGTGTTTAAACTGACCAGTTAAATTTTCACTTTAGTTTTTTGAATAAGCCAATGAATTTTTGTGTGCGTGTGTTTTTTTAGGGCATTGAAAACATAAAAAATGAAATTGAAGATGCAAGTGAACCCTTGATAGATCCTGTGTATGGACATGGCAGGTAAATAGCCAAACTGACATGTAACAGACTGTTTTTTCCTTATTTGGACTTAAGTTTTTAGGAACTGGACTTAAAACATGACTGAGCCAGGTGATTATTGTGCTTGTCAGCGGTGTGACGGCCCCTATAATGTGGGGCAGTTCTCGCTTTATCCACTGCTTGCTTTTATGCAACTTCAAGTTTAGGATTATGTGTACATTGTATTTATTGTGATTAATTTTTTTTTCTGAGATGAATGGATAAGTGTGGGGAAGTTTTTTGGTTTTTGTTTGTTTGTTTGTTTGTTTGTTTTTTAAGAGAGGTTTTCTTTTTTTCACTGTAGGGTGCATGTACTTGCCAGAGAGACAAAAAGTGAGAACTCACCCCTCAGAAGGGATGGCCACACTGCAGTCCCTTCTCCGCCGTTCTCTTCTTGAAATTTTGAGCATGCGCACACATGCTCCCAGTGTGAGTTTTAAGCCTCTGGACTTGGGGCTTGAACTATGGTCAGCCATGTGGGAGTCCTGCGATGTAACCAGCATGCCATCTCCTAGTTCCAAGAGTCAGGAGATATTTTAGCAAACTCTGCTTTGTCTTTCATTTATGAAATTTTTTTAATAAATAAAATTTACTCACTTTGACTTAAAAGTATATTCTTACCTATTTATAAATACTTTTCTGCTTGGGAGAAAAAATTTCCACTTTTCTCTGAGACTGTCCATCCTCTCAAGCTTTTTATACCTGTTTTTACCAAAATCAATAAATAGTGATCAGTAACCCAGTTCAATATACAAGTCTCTCTTTTTAGATCTTTCTACTTCATAGGTTAAAATTTATGTATCCTCCATCAAAGACAAGATATATGTTACTAACAAATATATATTTTAAGATTATAAATATGAAATAAATGATTAGTCTGTTTTCATTTACTTAAATACAATGTCTTAAGATAAATTGTTAAATTGATATGAATATGTATTGATATGTTAGGGCTATATCCAGGAAGAATGATTATATAAAATGGAAAATGTAAGGTTTTTTCAAACTTTTTTTCTTAAAAGTGAAATTTTTTTTCTTTTTTCTTGTTTTATTGAGCTATATGTGTGTGTGGTTTTTTTGTGCTTTATTTTTTTCCTCCTGTGTGTATGTGGGAGGAGTGTTAAACAACATAATGTAAAAAGTTATTCATTTCATCCTTACAGAAATTATTTACTTTAAAAACCAATTTTATATTTTAATCACATTTTTACTTTTTATTAATAGCCAAAGTTTAATTAACCTTCTACTGACGGGACATGCTGTGTCTAATGTCTGGGATGGCGATAGGGAATGCTCAGGAATGAGTAAGTATGCTCTTTGCTGTGTTTATTTCTTTACAATTCATATTTCATACAATTCAGTAAAGTACAGTCGATTGTATTCATCTGTTTAATGGCTCTGCGCTACTTAGAAGTTAAAGGTAAGTACATTGTAACAGAATTTTTTATAGTTTTCATGGCACTATTAATATTAAGAGCGAAGATTTTGAAACCCAAGTATTAGACTTCAGTGAAGTTATTTCTTCAAGCTTTTTTCCTTAGTATAAAATTGGGATTATGGGATTAAGCTCTTTAAAAAACAGTAATAAATGGATTCTCTCTCTCCCTCTGTCTCTCTCTGTGATCTATATAAATATGCTTTAATTTTTCTTAGTGTTCTTTGCTTAAAATTGAGGAGAATTACACAGTATCTAGTCATCCCTCCATTATCTGTGGTGCATTAGTTTTTGACATGCACCCTCCCCCCTATGGATACCAAATTCCCCAAATCCTAGGACACTCAAGTCTCTTAGATAAAATGGTGTATTTAAATGTGTCGTCCTTTTGTGTCCACGGGTTCCACATCACTCACAATGTTTTCAGTCCATGGTTGGTTGAATCCACAAATGCAGAACCTGTGGCTATAGAGGGTCTACTTCGTTGTACTTTGAAGTACTTGCTGTGGAACTACCAACTCCGCCACCATGACTACATCGTGGTCTCAGTAATTCCTTTCTTACAGCTTTCTATGTTGCCAGGGACGTTGAAGTGGGACACATTTTGGCTAATGCGTTCAGATAACTGATGTATAAATGAATAAAATTCTATACAATTTCTTATTGGCTCATTGTAAATTCATTTATTTACTCTTTCAACTTATATCAAATAACTACCATATGCCTATTACTGAAGTATGTAGTATAGGATATGAAGCTTCATAGTTCTTATAGTTCCCAGGCACATTTATTTTCTATTTTCTTCTAATTATAATTAGATAAAACTGTCACCAAATGACAGAACAAATGCTTTATTTGAGAAAGTAATAGTTACCACTATTTGCTCACATTTAGATAACCTTGATACTAAATATTTTTAAAATTTTAGAATTAGGTGTAAATGACCAAAAACACAAAAGGATACAATGTTAAGGTATAAATTAGTAAAAATTATGAAACTTCAGAATTACAAAGCACCATAATGCGATCCAACTATGCTTAAAAAATTTAAGAAATCACTCACTGCATTACCAATATATGCAAAATTACTCACTTAGTGATGAGGTTAGAATGAGAACCTAATTTGTTGATTTCTGATAAAGATCAACATTTAAATGTGAAATTTTATAGACCAAAAAAAAAAAACTACATAAGTAATCTTTCTCTGCTTTTTGTAACTGAGCTCATTCTTTTCTTGAATCTTCTTTCTGGTAGGTAGCTGAAAGCATTTAATCTAGCTGGTTAAAGGTATCTGTTTCTTGAGTAACATGCAGGTTTTTTGGTCTCTTACTCATGGTGACTTCTGCATGCTCTCTCCTTCCTATGATTTTTGGGCCCTGACGTATCTTATCTTAGGGAAGGAATAGCTGGTTCTTCCTGAACTCTGATTGAAGTGTGTCATCCCAGTGGTTTCTACCCTTGCTACTTCTTGTCCTGTGGCCACAATTCTTTCCAACTGACCTGTGCATTTCTCTGGCACTTGCTCCTATGTTATCTTGGTCTGTCTGTCTATACGTTCTGCAGACTGTCTCAAGCCTGTCCTACTCCCCAAACAGAATGCTCCTTCTGTGTCCCTAGTCTTTTCCTCACTCAGCCTCCCACTGAATCCATAGGCTCTTTTTGCTGTAAAGTTTCTACTTCCTTTACAGTCTGTATTAGTCAGTCAGCCAAATCTGAAAAGGAGAAGGCCATGGCTCTCTACAAGAAAGATGCAGAAAGTTTATTTAATATTTTTCATGCTGCAATTACTTTTAAGTAATCTTTTTTTTTTTTCTTTTTTTGGAGAGGTTTTTGCTATAGGGCACGTGCGCTCACCAGATAGACAGAGACAGAGAGAGAGAAAGCGAGAAATCACCCCCCAGGGGGAATGGCCACTCCGCAATCCCTTCTCCTCCATTCTCCTCTCGGGATCTTGGGCATGCACGCACACGTACCTGGCGTGAGTTTTAAGCCACCAGGTCTGGGAGTCGAACCGCGGTCGACTACATGGGAGTCCAGCGAAATAGCCATTATGCTAACTGCTGGTCCCTACTTTTAAGTAATCTAAAGATAATTTTAAGTATACAGAGGATATGCATGGGTTTTATGCAAATACTATACCATTTTATATAAAGATTTGAAGATCCACAGATTTAGATAACAGTTATTCCTGTGGACACCAAGGACAACTATAGTTGGGCTTCTTTCCTAGCAGTAATTATCAGCCTCGGAGTAGGAAAGAAATGAGATATTATATGTTACTCAGGAAAGGCTAGAAAGGGTCAATGAAAGATAAATGGGACACTTTTCCCCCTTTATTTATTAAGGATATTAGTACTTGATTTGTCATGTATAGTGAACTTTTTATCCCTCGTCATTTTTTCTTTGAGTTTCTTTACAGTGAATATTTAGATCATTTCCATTTTGTGCTATGAAAAACAATGCAGGAGGAAAGCATTTTTTGTTTATGAGGGGACTTCAGAAAGTTTATGGAAAGGTGGAATTAAAATATGAGTTTATGGGTCCAGCAGGTGGTATGGTGGTTAAGTTGCTGGACTCCCACATGCCTGACTGTGGTTTGAGTCCCGGACCTGGTCGCTTACTTTCTCACTTTCCCTCTCTCTTCCTCCACCTAACCCCCTTTCTGGTGAGTGAACATACCCTATAGCAAACTAAAAAGTAATAATTTATTTAATTTGACCAGAGTGAGACAGAGAAAAAGAGAAAGCCACCAGGTTCGGGACTTGAACCGCAGTTGGCCAAACAGGAGTCCAGCACTCTTAGCCACCACACCACCTGCTGGCCCCTGCAGTTTTTATATAATTATCATTGCCCATAAACTTTTTGAGGATTCCTCATGTAATTTTTGTTTATATTGAAGTATTCCTAGGATATATTTCTAAAAGTAAAATGGTATTAAAAATTTAGGCATCTGTATTTTGTTGTTGTTAATAGTAACTTTAGTGAAATGCTGGGTTGTGAAAAAAGTCATGACACATTTTGCATAGAAAAGCAAAAAACACATGACTTTTCCAATAACCAAATATAATTCACATACCATAAATGTCACTCACTTAAAATGTACAGGTCAGTGGTTTTTAGTACATTCTGAGTTGTATCACCATCATCACAATCAATTTTAAATCTGTTTTCGTCGTCCCGAAAAGTAATCCCATTCCTATTAGAAACTCCACATACTTCCTTTCACTCCAGCCCTGGCAACTGCTAATCCACTTTCTATCTCTGTACATTTGCCCATTTTGGACATTTCATATGAATAACATCATCCATTATTTAGTCTTTTGTGACTAGTTTCTTTTACGTAGCTTAACATCTGAAGTTCATGCTGTTTCAGCCTGTTCCAGAACTTCATTCTTTTTACTAATGGATAATATCCCATGGTATAAACATGCCCCATCACTTATTCAGTTAATGAATATTTGAAATGTTTCCACTTGACCATTATAAATAAAGCTTTTAGGAACATTTCATGTACAAGTTTTTGGCGAGAACTTAAAAACAGATTGGGGGAGCGGTTTATACTTAGGAAGTGAAATCCTAGGCCTTATGGTAACTCATAAAGTTTAACGTTTTAGAATACCTGTTGAATTTTGATAGATAATGCCTAAATTTTACCTTACCGACTGGTAAAGAATGAACTTACACTTGAACCATAGAGGAGAGCTCTCGTTTTCTACATCCCGAGTCTCAGATTGTTGGTCTTTAACATTCTACCCTTTTATTGACTGTGATAGCCTGTTTTAATTTATACTTCTGTGATCCCTAGTGAGCCTGGGCTTGATCACCTTTTTTTGGGTTCCTCAGCTTTCAGTATTTTTTGTTTTCTGGGAATTGTCTTTTTTTATATTTCCGGGCATTTCAAGAGGTCAGGATGTTTTCTTTCACTCAATTTCTAGAAGTTTTTTTTTTATAAATATTTTAGATCTTTGTGTATTAACTCCTTGTTGCAAATATTTTCTGGGTTTTTCTGTCTCTCATTAATTTTGCTAATGGTGGCTTTTATTATGCCCAAGGTTTTTATTATGATGAGGATAAATAATTTGTTTTGTCTGTAGTGTCCGGTTGTTTTAATTTTTCTTCCTTTTCCCTTATACCATCTTAAATTGTCTTACCCCAAGATTAAATTAATAATCGCCAGTATTTTCTTTGAGTGCCTTGTGTTTTTTGTTTGTTTGTTTTTAATGTTTAGCTCTTTAATCCATCTGGACTATTTATTTATGAGTGACATGAAGTTGGGATCTACCTTTTTACCTTTTCTCAAAGAATTACTTTATTATTTAATCTTTATTTATTCTCTATAAATATGAAACACTATCAAAAACAAATTTTCTCTTATTTACATGAGTCATTTTTTAAATTACTTTTTATTTTTATTTTTAAATTTAAATTTATTATATTCATTCACTATACATCAATACAGTACACAAAATGAGATTCTCCATCCATGATACACTATATATTGCTCAATCAAGGATATTACCATTACATTTTATTGTCAATGAATTATTTTCTATTTCTTGTTTCCTATATATTTTGCTTTTTTTCTCTTTCCCCCTTGATTCCTTACCTCTCACTCTCTGCCATTTTCCTCCTTCCTCCCGCACTGTCTCTGGTATCTACAGTTGTTTTCCATGCCTTTTTTCCCCCTACACTTTATTGATTCACTAAAGATCTTAATTAATTGAAAAACTGTCAGTAGCAAGCACAGCTGATATATACATATCTATGAACACATGTCTAACTTTAGGCGTAAACCTTAGTGTGTAAAGTGAACGTATTATAAAGTAGCACCTACTGGGACTATATAGCTTACTGCAGTTATTAAATAGT